AACACTTCAAAATGAAAAATGTGCCGCATTCAGCACGGGCAGGTTCAGTAAGCCTGAGGAGGGGCGGTGAAGGATTGAAGACAGACAAGAGAATACAGCTGGGCCCTAACCGGTTTGGCTCAGTGAATAGAGCAGCCGTGGGCAAACTACGGCCTGTGGGCCGGATTCGGCCCGTTTGAAATGAATAAAACTAAAAAAAAAAGAGACCGTACCCTTTTATGTAATGATGTTTACTTTGAATTTATATTAGTTCACACAAACACTCCATCCATGCTTTTGTTCCGGCCCTCCGGTCCAGTTTAAGAACCCATTGTGGCCCTCGAGTCAAAAAGTTTGCCCACCCCTGGGATAGAGTGTCAGCCTGCGGAAGGAACTAGGGAGGACTATAAGGTCAAACTTAATTATGTTTGCCAAAACCGGTTTGGCTCAGTGGATAGAGCGTCGGCGTGCGGACTGAAAGGTCCCAGGTTCAATTCCGGTCAAGGGCATGTACCTGGGTTGCGGGCACATCCCCAGTAGATGTGCAGGAGGCAGCTAATCGATGTTTCTAACTCTCTATCTCTCTCCCTTCCTCTCTGTAAAAAATCAATAAAATATATTTTAAAAAAATAACAACTTAATTATGTTAGGAGAGCTCTGCCCTCCAAGCTGCAACTTGTTTGTGGCCCTGCCACAGGTCAATCCAACACCTATAGCCACTCCCTACAGAAAAATACGCTATGTGAATTGAGAAACTTAATGGTTAAGCAGCAAGGTAGACACCCAAAAGGAGAATGAACCTGAAGTAGATCTGAGGAAGTTACACAGTTGGAGCCCAGGGATACAAAGAAATGGAAACTAAGGCAGAGAGGTTGGAAAACCACTGGAGAAGGAGTGAGAAGGTGTGACATAACCAGAGTTCCAGAAGGAGTGAATAAAGAGTCTGAGAATTTTCTAGAATTGAAGTTTATAAACGCTAACAATCAGGAAACTCCAACCAGGATTGAAAAAAATACTAAATCATAAGAAATTAGTAAGACATTAGAAAGACTAACCAAAAAAACCGCTATAAAGAAAAGGGAGAGAGACAATTAGAAACTAGGACGTCTATTGCGGGATGCTTCTGGGATGGGGTGAAAGCTGTTCTGATGACAGAAATATAAGATGAAGCTTACGATGCTCCACTCCCACTGGGTGGAAGCCAAGGGCTGTAGCTGTCAGGATAGCCTGCCTTGCCCTGAGGGAGTGCGGGAGCTAGTGCTGCAGTCCCGGATGACACGTGTCAATACTACTTTAAAGCCACAGAACAGCTTCTTGCTGATAAAGGCAGAAAAAGGCCATTTAACTATTAGGCTCACAGAAACACTGAGAAGGTTGGAGAGGAGCTCAAAGAAGTGTGTGGGGGTGCAGAGGGAGGTCTGAGCAGTTAAAAGCACTCCCAAGCTCTACCTTGGGACCAGAGTGCTGATGTGAAGATGTCATTGCTGCCACCTAGGGTACGCCCCACTTTCCCTCCTGCTTTGCTCTAGATTGAGCAATTCCCAGCAGAGGCATGGGATTAGCCACGCTTTGGTCACATGGCTGCACGGGGATGCTGGGAAAGCAAGTATCTGGTCTTAAATGGTGGGAGGTGGACGCTATCTTCTATTTAGATTTATGGTGGGGAGTCTCCAGCATGAGAAGGGGGTTCAGATGAAGGGTGGTCAAGAAAACGTATGTCCACTTCAGGCTGGACTGGCCCTAAGCCTTCAAACTGCGACTTTTCCCTTCAAGGGTGCAGAGGAGACAATGGACAGCTCTGAACTTCAGCGATGGATTTGTTTAGGTGGGTGTTCTTTTGTTCTGTGTTTTTCTTCCCCATTGGTAACATTTATTGAGATAGAATTCATATATACCGTACACTTTACCTATTTAAAATGTACAATTTGCCTGGCCAGTGTGGCTCAGTAGTTGAGCATCAGCTGTGAACCAGAAGGTCACGGTTTGAATCCTGGTCAGGGTACATGCCCGGGTTTGCCGGGAGCCGGTCCATCCTTGCTGTTTCAAGGGACCTGGCATATATGGCATACTGTTCTTAATATATTTGCTCACCTTCTTGGCACTGTGTTTTAACCAAGGTCACCTCTCCGAGAAAGGTTGTTTCCCCAGTAGAGATTTTCCCCTGAGGTTAGGGAGGGAATAAAACCCCTTCTCTAAGTGCCAGGTTGGTAATTAATCTCTTTAACTATGAACAATCATGCTTAAGCTACATAATCTTTACTCCCTGGAATGGAGATAAGAAACACCCTAACCTTTGGAATAGAGATTGATAGGATTGGAATCAACTGGTATAAATACAGATGCAACAAGACAACAGAAGACAGAACTTAGATGAAGGT